GTTGTTAGTAATTTTGATAGAATGTTCTAGAAGGAAAAGTAGTGAGAGAGAGGGTGAAGACACTAGTTTCTAGGAATACACAGAATTAGATAGTACAGAATTCAAGAGAAAGCAATTAAGGGTAAAACCAGATATTAGTATGGGAATGCATGCAGGTATGGTTGAAGTTGGATTTCCAGGTAAAAGTGATTGAAAGAACAATAGAGTTTAGATTGAAAGGAAACCAAAGTATTTACAAGATAAGGAATTGAAAAGAATTGAAATAATATTTGAAGTGAAATAATATTTGAAATGAAATATTAATTGAAAAGAAATGTTAATTGAAATGGAATAAAATTAGAAAAAATATTTACACACACACAAAAAAAAACAATAAGTGTTATTTCGCCACAAAAGTTTCCTAATTATTACGATTTAATTTGTAATAGCAACTTAAATACCTATTGAATTTATTTCTGCTGGGAATTTGTGGAATTATTTTTACGAATTCGTGTCCAAATTGTAAGTAAAAGTAAAGCAACGGGCTAGTGGGATAAATTGTAAATATCGCTTTACTATTTACGTAAATTTTCCTTTTTCATTTTCTCCGTGCGTGAAACGCAGTTTAGCTTCAATTATCTTTCCCTGAAATAAGTTCAGTAGCTTCTGACAGTGCCGCACAAAGATCAAACTGTATTCCTGTTTCCTTATTAGGTTAAAGAAACGAAATTTTCTTACCCATTCCTAGTCCAGATGTGTCCTCTTTAAAATTATCGGGTCCTATTTGTCCATCTACGAGCTGTCCAAGTCCGTTACGTAAAAATCCATTTTCCTGCATGCCATCGTACATCTTGTCGGTGAAATTGAGGTCATCTCGAAGGGCGCCTTGCGGTCCAGAATAACTCAGGAGGCCGTCTGCAACACGTCACCATGTCAGAGCACCTGTTCCAGAATGTTGACGTTAATTATCCCTTTTAAAATTTAATTTTCTTTTGATTAAGAATTTCCCGAAATTTTCATTGATTTTTCTCGAAGTATAGGCAGTTAACCAACTTAAAAACACTTTAAAAGTTTCCAAATTATTACTGAAACGATCTCAAAGGCGTTACGGTTTTTAAACGAGGGTAAATGGAGAGCTAGAAACGTCCCTGTGTTTGTACACAAGAAACAAGGAGCTTGTAAATTATATGACGGATTTCTGAACACATTTCAGAATTAAAGAATCTATTTTTGATTATTAATGATTGTCTTCCGATGATATTACTAATTTATTTTAATAAAATAACATTATACTTGAAATAAATGAATGTTACCTTCAGATTTACATCCAACCACTTCAACTCTCATACAGACTGTCCGAACATGGTCACTATAGGGTACGAATCTGATTTTTGATGCAATAATTGGAGGGTCCAATATTTGATCTACAATACTCGACGTGTCTGTGTTTCCAGACAATCTCTGCAATTATTAAACAACATTTCAATTTATAAATCAATCAATACTGCCTGTCTAGCCAATTGATCCATCAATCCAGGGAAAATATGGAATTCACTCGACCCTGCGTCGATACTATATGACAGCTAATCGTTATTGTTTCGTTAAAATTTTTCAAAAAGACATTCGTTTATACCAGCATCTTGAGGAACACCATGTCCCTTTCTTATGCTCTGAATGGTGCTACGATCTAACAACGACTAATGCTAATCTTTTCGCTGCTTTTTCTGCTTCCCAATTAACAAGAAATTTTAAGACATCAACCCTAATATCTTTTTCTTATATTAAAGACAGTACAATTGTAGGGATATATATACAGCGGCAAAAGATTAGTATGCTTAGATGTACAGATGATATACTAGTATTAGCATCTAGCAAGGTGGAGTTAGAGATAACTTAACCTAAATAAAATGGGGAAAGAACGAATATAAAGATAGGAGACGAAAAACTATAAGAAGTGACCGATTGTAGGTATCTGGGAAGTCAGATATATAAGGACAGAAGGACTAGTAGGGATATAAAGAAGAGGATAGCGCAGGGTCGAGTCGCCTTCAATAAAAACAAGTCATACTTTTATGTTCGCGAACGGTTAATTTAGAAATTTTGTGAAAGGTGTTTGGAGCACGGCGATGTATGGGTGCCAAACATGGACAGTGGGCGAGGCGGAAAAGAAAAGGTTACAAGCGTTCGAAATGTGGTGTTACAGGCGAAGGATGAGGATACCGTGGATAGAGAAGGTTAGAAATGAAGAACTATTAGAAAGAATAGGAGAACAGAGGAATCTGTGGAAGTCAATAAGAAATAAGCGAGATAGGTTAGTAGAAAACCTTCTCAGGCATGAAGGTCTAGTCAGAGACATATTAGAGGTAGAAACGGGAGTTAGAAGGGGTAAAGATACACCTAGATTAGATTACTATTCGCAAATAGTCAAGGATGTGGGTTGTTCTAGTTTAAGGGAAATGCGAAGATTAGCTCAGGATAGGAAGGAGTGACGGTGCGTGCCCAACCAGTCTTAGGACTGACGACCTTATGATGATGATATTCAAACAAGCCAGATAAATTTCCCTTAAATTAATAAAAATGTTATGCACAGCATTGTTTTTGATCCCTTCCTTGACATAGAATAAATTTGTTGTATGAACGACTTGTCCTTTAATGTTTTGAAATCATAGAAGTGGAACGAATCAAGGTCGGGAATCAGGACAACTTTGTTGCCGGCAAGGATATAGCAGCGTTTCCTATTTCCGGTCTGTTAAAGTCCCGTGACAACGTTACCTTTGCAGCGAAAATAACTCACTGTCAGTGAAAATAACGGTGAGTGATTTAATGTCGGACGCGGGCATTTGCATGCAGGATCATCCTGCATCCCATAAACATGTCTCAGAAGGCCTATCGTAATTCAGCCTGTTTAATAGCTAAACTGAAGCTCCATATGTATGCGAATGTATCAATCGAAACCCTAAGGAGTGCGTCATCCTTTAATATACATACCTACGTATAAAGAATATACCTATATTGCGTATATTTACTTAAATTGACCGATAAAAAAATAAAAATACGAATCTTGAAAATATTAGTCTCAATAACTCTTTTTTATGATAAATAGCTTGAGACAAGATGCTAAATATACTTAAAAAATCGGTTGTCTGTAATAGTTGAACGTGACAACGTCATAAGAAAATACTGATGGAATGGTTTCACTTTTCAAAAGAAAATTTTAATTTTATTTGTTTGATAGATATTTTGTATGGATATAGAGAAGGAGGTAAATGGAAATGTATTATTGTATAGCAGCTGTCCACGCGGACGCATCGCTCACTCAAGTACGAGAGAGAAAGATGTCGAACGCTGCCGAACGCGGAGGCCGATTGTGCCTCTTTGTCGCCCGTTCCGCGCTCTCGCTTGCACTTCAAGCCTTAAATGGAACGCCTCAGAGCGAGGTAACGCCGCATGAGTCATGTTTTTTCGTGCGTGCAGCCGGCTCCATCGAATTATAAGACGTTGTCACGTCAAAAAGAGATACAAAGATAGAAGGCAAAGTGAAACAGAAATACTGATGTGCAAGGGAAGAAAGAGTGAATAGATAGATAGGAGACGAAAAATTTGAAGAAGTGGCTGATTTTCGATATCTATAGCGCAGGATTGAGTTGCCTTTAACAAAGGAGGTAGTGGATAGAGAAGGTTAGAAATTAATAGACGAGACAGGTTCATAGGACACCTTCTTTAGCAGAAAGGGCCAGATAGAGACATAGAAGAAGAAACAGGAGCTAAGAGGAGGATACCTACTATAGATTACTGTTCACAAATAGTTAATTATGTGGGATATTCTGGTATTATGGAAATACGAAGATTAGCTCAGGATAGGAAAGAGTGGAGGTGCGTGTCCTGCCAGTCTTAGGACTGACGACGTTGATTATGAAAACCCTTATTTCTGAAGGAGCAAACCAACTCCTTAGATGACATTGAAGTAAATGATTCATAATTTCAACTCCTTCTTAACCAATTTTCAAATTTCCTGGACTTGGACATGGAAGCAGTTTTAGGACTGGAGACGTTTTGTTAATGATGATGATAAAATAGCTTTTATTTTAGTCTGCATTAATACAAGTGGACTAATATCTGGTTATTAATGACAGTTTGTCGCCATCTATAGGTATTTACTACTAACTATCGTGTACGATAAGGATTTACAAGACCTTATTAGGTACATTTTCTACTTGTCAAGTTGAATGCACCAGGAATATTACGTGATAGTCAGTTCATCCAATGAAATAAGAAATATTGAGTTTTTGCCGTCGATGGACCGTTTTACACGTTATAGTTCTGTATGCAGTTTTGTAACAGAGAGATAAATCTAGTCCGCGATATTAAAGTGAAGAACAGTTTATACGAAGTGCTGAAACATAAATGTACTTTCTCGAGGCAATAATACGGGGTTTACTTGCCGGGAAAAAGTAGCGGAATCGACGTGGAATCGGGAACGTCTCGAGCGTTTTGTGCGGGAAGCTGTTCCAAAGAAGTGGTGCGGCAGAGTAGAGCCAGCTGGCTTGCTCATTATGTTAATGGCAGGAAAAAGGACCGTACAAAGGCAGTTGCAGCACAAGGAGAGGGTTCTGTAGTCACTGTAATGATCTGCGCTAGAAATTTTCTCATTTGCAGTAAACGAACGAAACTATTGGACGAACAGCTTCAAAAACGAACAGGTCAGATTTAGATTAGTGGTGATTTGCCCGCCTGCCTTCCTTTCCGGTTAAGCGACGGTTCGATGGTGAAATAAAAACAAATTAAATTCCGAGTGACTTTCTCTTTTTGCCTCGTTTTATTCTTATTTTTATTGCCGGCACTGTTGGCAGACAAATTACCGAATTTAACTCTTTTAACGCAGGAACGAAACATTCTCTTTAAGAGAAATCAATTCAAAAAGAAGCAGTTGAACTGTAACACCTCCTATTTCCACTTGATATTATTGACAAAATTTGATACAATGGGACGTTCTTTTAAAAGGCCCTAGGTCCCGGGATATTTCTGTAACTAATGATCTCCATTTGTTTGCTTCAGTGATTTTCAGCAAAACAAATAGGCAAATTGTCAAATTACGTCTTATCGTGACGCGACGAATTTAAGAATTTTTACAATAGAACACACTTAAATATGATTTACAACACTGTTATTTGTTCGTTTTCTTTAAAGAAAGGTCGTTATGGAAATTTGACTCGCGCGAAGTAGGTTAACCTTTGATTTGAACGCCTTTCAAAGACCTGGCGTGACTTTCGCATGACAATGGCTAACTTCGTTAATAACGAAAAACGTATTTAATACGAATTTTGGTCACTTATATCATACCGACGCATCTGTATAATAATGGAGGCTTTAAATTAGCCAAATATTCCGCTTACATGAGTGTAATAATGGAATTAGAAAATAATGACACCTCCAAGTCGGTAAGGCGGCACAAAGTAATTGGCTTAAAGCACGGGAACAGAATTCTATTTTAGAAATGCATTTTACAAAGTTATTTTGTACGTAAACTGTTTTATACTGTGTATGAAGTGGAATTGAGAACTAAACATATAGATTTTCTATTACATTCCGTTCATTTAGAGAAATGTACAGCGTGAGCGATAAGCACGAAAAAGAGTAGGTTATTTAGGGGTTAAATCCCTTTTCTCATATCGGTCGTAAGCGGAGGGGACAGCCGAAATATCATATCATATCATTATAATTACAAAAAAATTTCAAAGCCCAACTATAAGCCTTTGGCACCGTAAATAACATTTAACGGTTACCATTATCAAACATACATACAATTTAGAAATTTTTTAGAAGTGAGTCAGTTTAATATCAAATATTATCATTCTGAAAATTCATTTCTGAATTTTTTACTCACTACACGCTACCTCAAATTAATGAGGGAAAAATTGTTGCTGTTGTCGAACCTCCGCCGGGCATCGAACCCGGGACCTTTGGCTTTACGCACCAATGTGTTCTGACCACTAAACTACGAGAGGTGACAACAGCAACCACGACCAACCGACCTACAAGGTTAACGATCCGTCGAACTAATGTAACTATATACTGAATATGCTATGATTAAACATACATACATACAATTTAGACATTTTTTCCCACAGTAATTTGAGGTAGCGTGTAGTGGGTAAAAAATTCAGAAATTAATTTTCAGAATGATATTTCATTTTACCATTATCATTAGAGCAGTCCGCACACATCGATCTGGCATCGTGTACCTTTCTCTAAGTAGATAGACAATACCTGCACTATCAACATTTGATTATTATAGTAAGTACTATAGCTCCTTGTACAAAAGCTGTTCCAAACTTTTCGGTTACTTATTATAAATTAGACAAATTTGTATGAGATCGTTTAAACAAATACCATTCATCCATATTTCTGCTTTGCAATAAGCTAGTTCCGTGCAGTTTGCTCCTATGTTTATTTCATTTGACATCCAGAATATCCTCCAGAGTTACAATAGGAATTACGAGGTCTCGGCTTAAACTTTACTATCAGAAGCGACATATTGAAAGGTTAGTGACTGTACCACCACAGCGTCGACGTCCCTTGGCGCGTCCCGTCCGCCGGTCCGTTACGATGCCGTCGGCGTCGGGGTGTAGTCATTGCGACGCCGATTGACGTCGTCTGTTCGCCGTCTAGATTATGCATGAGTTCAAATTGAGCTCTCAAGTTCCGTTCGCGTTCAAAAGCGTAAATTAAAAGGAAGTATTATCAGCATCCCAAGATTAAAAAAAGGTTAAAGAGATGGTCGGGACCGTTCACAAGATTTCGCTCAAACTTTTAATTTTGACGTTAATCCTATTCCATCTTAGACGATTTGTGGATTCGAGCCCGATGGATGGAGAAAGGAAAGAGATAAAATTTTAATCGGGTTATCACTTGTACACAGATATTGTCATTCAAACGATATTATACGGGCATCGGCAATTTGGAGACTGAAGAAGACCCTAATTGGTCCTACCTGGCGTTTTTTTTCTCTTTGACAATTCAAAAATGGGGATGTTATCGTCATCTACCGTTTACCCTCTTAACCGACAGGCGACATGCCGTACATGGCCACGATTTTTTGACCAATATGACTCTAATTTACCAATATTGTTGTTATTTCTTTGGTAAATATCCCACCGCGTATCCTCTACAACGATACCATTAAATAAACCACAAGCAAACCTGTTACTCACGAGCGGCATGTCGTAAACGAGCACCTAATGAGGTAAACTCTAGTAGCCGGCGACTACTGGAAGGATATCACTCGAAATATTAATCAGGAAGACGCTAATATTTTGTTTGTTTATAATCTTATAATCAACCAAACAATAGAGGCTTTATGGCAATCTCTTTTTCAATATTTCTTTATTCCTACAGGCGGCATGTCGTATGCGAGCACCTAATGAGGTAAACGCTAGTAACTGGCGATTGCTGGAAGTCTGTCACTCGAAATATTAATCAGGAAGGCGCTAATTTTTTTTGTTTATAATCAACCAAACAGTAGAGGCCTTATCACAGTATATCTTTCAATGTTTCTCTATTCCGACAGGCGGCATGTCGTATGCGAGTACCTAATGAGGAAAACGCTATTAGTAATCGGTGACCGCTGAATGTCTGTCTTGAAATGTTAATCAGGAAGGCGCTAATATTTTGTTTATTTATAATCAACCAAACAATAGAGGTCTTATCGCAATCTCTCTCTTGCAGTCTTTTTCTCTATTCCGACAGACCGCATGTCATATGCGAGCACCTAACGAGGTAAATACGAGTCACTAGCGAGTGTCGAAAGTAAACTACCTGTCACACGAAATTTTAACCAACATGGCGCCAGTAATTTGTTCAAACATGGCCATACTTGACTAAGTACAATAAATATGTATAATATACGTGTAGTATATGAGAATTCTTAGGCAAGAGACTGCAGTTCTCTCAAAATATCTCTTTCAACTACAATCCCGTAAAATAAACAGTAGGAAATATGAACAGTTAAATATTTAAATAGAATTTGCGTTTCGCTTTTGCATGGCAAGAATTTCAAGAACCTAATGAGATATGGAGCAATTACTTTAGTAGTACTACTCGAGCTTCGGCTACACCACTAAAAGACAAAGCCACCAGAAATATTCCACACGAAAGCTACAATTGGAGCCTCTAAATTTCTCTGCTTATCTTTTACGAGAACGTAACCAAGCTTGGAATATTAGCAACTCAGACAATTCAGCCTGAATTTTCTAATAATTGCTCGTTTTTGGTTTTAGTTAATTTACTTCACAAACTATTTAAATGTAAATTTATTAAACTGTCATCGCTACAATAAACAATCTACACTTTTAACTTGAATTTTCTCACTTTCCAAGATTTCAAGTAGCTCAAGTCGCAAAAGTCGATGAAAAATGATACGTCTTTAAAATACAATTTCCTTAAAGCGAACTAATTATTCTAGGCAATTAGACTTTTAAAATAGTCCGATAACTTCGTCTGTAGTGCTCTTTGTTTCGCATCTGTTAATGCTGATTTAGATTAATAGTTTAGTTAGTACCTACTGAAGATGCTGGGCGATGAACTAGGAACTGAAAATTAGCAATAAATATTCATTGGATCGATTAACCCATCAATGAAAGCCATTTAATCTACTTCGTTCTACATCTTAAACAAAGATATTGTCTCATTATAATCACAAAAACAACTCAGAATTTTTCCAATGCGACTATTTATGAACACAATTTGGAAATTCATATTTTACTTTGTTAGTTATACGGGTGTTTTTCTGATATCTAATGAATATTGTATGAAGGGACAGTTCCGAGAGAAGAATGAAATCAAATTAATGAAATTGGTTTGGATACAGGTTTTACAATAATTCCTTGATACCTGTTTAGAGTCAAAGTTTAATATCAGATACCGAAGAAATTGCATAAGGTTGCATTACTTCAAGTATACAATTAGATAGAACTATTGGTAAAAGGCATCGATCGTAGCGACACGTAGTGACAATAATTCGAACCAATCCTATCGGGTTAGCTGTTACACAGCGAGTAGAAAGAGATACATACGTAATTCTTTTTATTTTTATTATAATAGAAGAAAATAAATAAAATTATTTTAAAGTATGGAAAATCAATCTGAAACAAATGGAGCAAGATTTTCTCCAAAAAAACTACGAGTAAAATGTTTTGTTGTGTCTATGGTTGCAAAAGTAAAGCGTTTAACAATCCGGGCGTTCGTTTCCACTATTTTCCAAAACCAAATAGTTACTATGTAAAAATACAAAATTATTTCGGTAATTCGGTAAAGTCGATTGCCATAAAAAATGGCAAGAAGTTTTAAAAATTGGGGAAACAGTAATTCAGCACATGCAAGTTTGTTAGTTACATTTTAAAAGAAGTGACTATGTTCCACCTGGTAAATATTCATTTTTTTGCATAATTACTTTAAGCTATAACTAATTATTTAAAATTAATTCAAATATTAATTACATTAATCAATATTTTGAATTTTGTGGACAATGAGACATGTTGACTCTATTTTTAAAGGTTTCAAATTCTTGAAGAAAGATGCCATACCTTCCTGTAATTTACCTTCATGTAATATAAAAGAGCCTTCAGATGACCAGAAACGAATTAATAGAAGTATGATTAAGATTAAGATTAAGATTAAATAGAGAAAAAAATCGTACTGAAGCTAATATAAACCAACAAAATGGAAATTGTGGTAACCTAAACGATGAAGAAAATATTTTAACAAGTTCTGACCTTCCAATGGCAGAAAATAATGATATAAACTCTCTCAGCGTAACTCATATCGATTATTTATATTATTTAATATGCCACAATATATTAAATGACCAGCATTCACAACTTTCTCTCCTTCAACGAAATTACGGCTTTTTATTGATGAGTTCAAGAACTCCAAAATTTCACTCAAAGATAAAAACATTGCTTCAAAATTAACTTGTAACACATGTTTTCGTATGGAAACGTGGCGTATTTGACCCGATAGGATTGATTCGAATTATTGTCACGGCGTGTCGCTACGATCGATGCCTTTTACCAATAGAGACGCAAAAATATATATATAAATTAAAGGCTGATGACAGTTATTATGACATTTTGTATTTCACTGACCTCTTTCCCTTTTCTATTTTTCCACCTGACCCATTTCGAGAAGCCGCTCCTCCAGTATTCCAGCATATATTCTTCTGCGTACTCCTGCCCTTGACCGTTTCCATACCGCCCTTGGGTCCTGGCGCCTCTAATGACATGCAACTCTTCCAAATTTATCTCCAAGAACTCCTTGGCGTCCCTCGAAACCATTTGCCGGGGGCACCACGCTCCGCCGTGCTTGTTCGTGCGTAATCTACGAAAGAATTAAAACTTCCGGGTGGTTTTAATATTTTCGGGTTGGCGACCAATGGCAGATTCGCCGATTTTAAACGGAATGAAATGTAAGGGAAACGAACTTGGCTGAATTTCGTAATTTAATTTCCGGCCGAAGTTTTCAATTTAGTTAGCGTGAAGACGTAGCAGACGTTAGAGGTTTTACTTGAGCAACTGCAATTTGAATAAGACAGTGATTGCCGAAATGGAACGACAAGAACGTACTCTGATTAATAATATCGTTTAATAAGCCGAGGAAAATGGTCCAAATATTTTATAAATTCAGAATGAACATTTAACTGTAGCACAAAATACCATCTTTACCCTTACCTGTTAAATATAACAAAAAATAATTGTTCAACTCAAAAAATTTCATTGTGGAAAATTTTGATAGTGGGCGCAAGGTCCGGTAAGTACGGCGGATGAAGCAGGAATAACGCTGTAAACTTTATTTTATACTTAGGTATTCCAACAAAGTAATTTATGGGATCGTCTTCTTTAATACTAATTTAATACAAAAATGAAAGTAAATATTGTTATTATTTACGTAATTCCTTGTCTATATAGTCGAAGAAAAATGTATAAACATTTACGGTAATGCAGAATTTTACTTACAATTAAAAAACAAGTAAATTCGTTTATAGGGATAGACGTTCGAGGCATTTGAATGTTACTATTTAATGAGGGTAGTTTGGTTGGAGTATACGTAAATAAATTTACGGTAACTATTTTAACGGTAGAGGTACCCAAAAAGGTAATTAGAAGCTACTAACCTTCCGTAATGGGGTCCAACACTTGCAGAATCGTAAGTGGAGCTAGCTAAGATATTGGAGTCCTTAATATGTCCCGATTCCATACCCAGAGGGTAGGCGCAGTATGCTGCAACAAATTGACTCGGGTAAATAGTGCAATATTTCACAGATACCAACGTAAAGTTGCCGTTATTCGCTTTAAATGTGCAAACTGTTACATGAACGTTGTTAGTTCATTGATAAATATCCCATATAGCTATACCATCCGACCGACCGACCAATAGGTGAGTGCTTATGCATAGAACCTACATATAAACGGCGGTATCCATTTTATCTTCGCAATTGCACCGGCAATATTATAAATCCATAGAATGTAAATGCAAGTGACATTATGCTTGGCGTGAGCAACGACCGTGGGCACATTTTCGGCGACAAATAACACCCTGACATATTCATGGCACTCTCGATACGAAACGCTTACGGAATAAGTATATATGAACGTTTAGGTGTGTATTATTCTCGCATTTTAAAGTGACACAGAAGTAATAAACCTTGTAGGGAGTGAGTTCCTAAATCCTCAGAATAGGTGAAGCAATAATTGGGTGTTTCGTTCCCACCAGCCACTAATGCTCGTGGGGGGGGGGGTTAGTCCTTCCGGGCTACACCGGAAGGTAGGGCGGAAGGGTTTCTTCGTGGGAATGGGTGGGTGGTGGTTCGGGTGAGAAAGATGAGACGGACGAAATGAAGACAGAAGAGAATGAAATTTGATTAAATTATAGCCAAAAGTAAGTTTTGATGATACACCATTCAAAAAATTTTGGTTTAGGTAGATAAACGTTTTTATTTTTTATGCCTAAAATATTGAACGTCGATTGTATGTCGACGCTGGAAATGTCAGAGAATGGAGAGGTTTCTTTTTTTTCTGACGATCTAATCTTGAAGAGAACAGCTGAGTCGGTAATTCAAAGAAAATCGTTAAATTTAATTAAGAGTGAACAAGCGGAAATACAAACTTTCATGCCGTAGACTGGAAGATTATACGAGAATTATGGGATTAAGTTAAGTCTAAAGAAACCGGAATATAACGACAGGCAATCACTTTATTTCTCAGCCTACTTGTCTGCAATCCTGTCGCTCGTCACTTTTCAAACGATGCAATCCATTGAAGGAATTCATCAACAGCGGCAAATAATAATCAATCAAAGTTACAGCGGTTGACAGAAAGCAAAAAAAAAAAAAACGCCACCTAACGGCATTCCAAAATTAAATGTAATTTCTCCAAGTCTTACGACACGCAATACTATATATAAGGACAGTAGTTTTTATATACGATAAACCACTACTTTAATAATAATTAATACTTTTGCTTGGAGCTTTTATATTTTGAGAAATATTATAATAAGATGCAGGGGTTAAGAGGAGTCGAAGTAGACTTAGACTAGATTACTGATCGCAAATAGTTAAGGATGTGGGATGTTCTAGTTTTAACTGATTGTTAGAGTAGAATAGTGTGGAGGTGCGTGTCCAGTCTTAAGATGTTTGTAATGGAGCTTTTGGTCACAGTTTTGCTAATTTTTAGTAGTATTTATTGAAGAGTTTTTTGGAGACGCTTTCTAGTAATACGTAGATAATAATCCTTTCCGTTCTTTATTTAATCGATGAACCAAAAACTTAAGGAATCTCGAGGTCAAATCGCTAGAAAACACTGCGGTATAGTCTTGACCTGTCGCATTCGCCAAAATTTGTACCAAATTTTACAAAAACTTTTAACCTTCATTCTACTCATACACTGTAGATACTTGACGTTTGTGTGTTTTATTAAAAAATTATTTTATTTAACAGTGGTTTATGCTAGCAAGGAGGAGTTAGAGATAGCTTTAAATACAATGGAAGCGGTATTAACCAAACAGTATTCTTTGAAAATAAATAAAAGTAAAATAAAAATACTGGTATGCAAAGGAAAGTAGGGAAAGAACGAATGTAAAGATAGGAAACGAAAGAGTGGCTGATTTTAGGTGTCTCGAACGTCAGATAAGTCAGGACGGAAGGAGTAGTAGGAGATAAAGCAGAGGATAGCGCAGGGTTGAGTCGCCTTCAATAAAAAGAAGTCACTTCTATGCTCGCGAACGATTAATTTAGAAATTCCAAAAAGATTGTTAAAGGTTTATGTTTGGAGCACGGCGTTGTACGGATGCGAAACATGGACAGTGGGCGCGGCGGAAAAGAAAAGGTTAGAAGCTTTCGAAATGTGGTGTTATAGGCGGATGATGAGGATATCGTGGGTAGAAAAGGTTAGAAATGAAGAGGTATTGGAAAGAATAGGAGAACAGAGGACTTTATGGAAGTCAATAAGAAATAGGCGAGATAGGTTGATAGGACACCTTCTCAGGCATGAAGGTCTAGTCAGAGACATGTTAGAGAAATAAACAGGAGTTAGGAGGAGTAGAGGTAGACCTACATTAGATTACTGTTCACAAATAGTTAAGGATGTGGTATGATCTAGTTTTAGGGAAAAGATTAGCTCAGGATAGCAACGAGTGGAGGTGCGTGTCCAACCACTCTTAGGACTGACGACCTTATGATGATGATGATGGTTTACGTTTACTCTAGCGAGCTTTTCAGTCATACAAATTAGCTAAAGTCGTGAAAAATAAAAAGTGCTTTAAATTAAATTTACATTTTTTGTTTGTTTTTTTCTTCGTCAACACCCTTTCTTACTTTATGTAGACGCCAAGTCTGCAAACAAGCGTTATCATTTAATCTATAGGTGGTTAATTCGCATTTTAAATACTTCCTGCTATTTTACGAGAATTCCCGTGTGCAAAACGAACATGTAAAAAAGTCTCTTATTACCTTATCTTTGCTTTTCCAACTCGTTTTTACCCTTCGTCCTTTGTACGTAACGAATATGCATGTATTGTGTGGAATATTAGACAAGTTTTCCAACTTGCAAAGATATTACCTCTGAAAGACATTTAAGTCACGAAATACACAGCGGAATGTTCAGCTAGGAGCCCATTTAATAAAAACAATGGTAATTTATGCATCTGAATGCCTCAAAGTTCTAACGGTTAATTGTTTCGTGACGTAAGGGAACGTAATTACACTTGAAAGCAAAGCATTCCATTTAATTAGCCACTGTTAGACCCTCAAGGTGTAATACGTCCACTAAACAATAACATTCGCTTCCCTGATGAAGCAGGGCGACTTTTTTCCTTACGTCAACTGTTATGCACTGAGAGTTTACGTAATTAATTAATTAGACAAATTAAACAGAGGACAACAGATCAACTTTTAAAGGGTTAGTTAGAGATGTATTAGAAGCAGGAACAGAAGTAAAAGGAAGAAGAGATAGATCAAGATTAGATAACGTTTCACAGGTATTTAAAGATAGGAGATGTTCCAGATTAAGGGAAACCCGGAGTGATGACTCTTGGCTGTAGACGATACCTCTATATACAGGGTGTCCCATTTATAATAATTAAAAAAAAAACATGGCTACCTGACACAAAATACAACAAAAAAGTGTTATACAATTTTTCAATCCAGTGACAATTGAGTTCGCAAATCGTCTTTGTAAATTTGAACGTACAATTTGTTTCATTACGGCCCTGGATCTAGGCGACTAACGTCGCTCAGCTGATCTAGTGTGAATGTAACAAGTTTCTATCGGGAAGAAGCCGAATGCACTTCCACCTTGTAAAAAAAAAGGTAAAAGTAAAAAAGAAAAGCGTACTTTTTATAAAAAATGTTGAAATTGCTCGCCATTCGCTTCAATGCAACACTGACAGCGACGTACCCAGTTGCTGCGAATTATGGCCCAGATACTGGGAATATTTCGAATTATTCGATAGGCATTGGTACTGTAACTCACCACCAACTGACGGTTGAAAAAGAACCTTACAGAATGCACTATCACACTACTAATTCTCCTTATTGTAATAGACTTTTATGAAATGACCACTAAATAAATAAACCAACACTAACAAACAATTCCACAACAATCCAAAGCAAACTGAACAACCTGTTAGAAACTACGACATTATGTGTATTTATTCCAGTCACTTTCAGTAGTGTAATTATACGAGGTTATATCAATATTTACCTTTTTACATTTAATGAAAACAAAATAACCAACCTGGTCCTTCTGGACACATCCTTGTATTACTTCACGTGGGGTTAATGAGCCCTGCTATGCAAAACTAACGTTTAACACATGTGAATGGTCAAAGTAGGTCTGCATCTTGTCTCAACCTTTACAACCATAACACATACATTTGTTTTCGTAGACTGATACGTTATGTTTCAATACCTTTACCAAACGCTGGGTGGTGAGGGTTGTTTGTGCACCGCTTCTAATTATTCAGTAGTCGTTAAAATTTCTTTTCTATTTAAAATAACGTAATACTCGACGTCATGGGCTACATTAGGTCCACTTCAGTTTACGATCATGAGATTTTCGATTGTGATAGATACGTAGTTTTTCTAACATGTTCAGTCATCTAATGGACCTTAACGCGAGTGCATTTTCTTCGGCTTAATACCAAACATAAACAATAACATTACCCCAAAAAGCAGCTGATTCCGCGAATTTTTCTACGATCAGCTGGCAATCGTAATTAATTTGCGATTGTGCAGAGCCGGCATCAAAACTGTTATAATTTTATAATTTTTTATTTTGTTTCAAAAGTCAAAAGTGTTATAACATTTTATGCTCCAAATGCCCGTAGGAATCTGTGGTATAAATATTAATTGTTATAACTGGGACACCCTATATGTTATAACTTCACCAAAAATTAAATTTAATTTATTTCGGGCTTCCGACCTTTACATACAGACTTTCAAAACCCTTTAATGTTGTAATTGATAAATAGATTAATGTAAATGCTTACCTAAATCTAAAGCGTGGGCAGTGTGAGTATTTGAAACGAATGCGAGTAGAAATGCTGCAGTGGCCAAAAGAGTCGGTTTTAGCGCGTAGATTTCCATACCGTCGAGGGTTGGGACGGTGACGATGACTGGCGTCGCGACGGTCGTCACGCAACCGCGACGTCTTTTGTGCACGCACATACGCCAGAACACGTCGTTGTGTGCTGTAGCGCCGCCACTGCGGCTAAATTACTGCCATGACACCCCAGAAGCTAGGAGCCATTCTCTCTCCCTAATAACAATAATATAAGCTCATTAGGGTTCATGGCATAAGGTGGAAAGGTTGAGCTATTCCAGAAATTGCCGCTTTTGTCCAACAGAGCGGTCTAAATTATTCTCCTTTCCCTTCTCGATAATGTCCCTTTTGTCCTTCCTCTCTTGATTCCTGTCGTCTGAAAACAACGCATACTGTCAGGACTTTTAAAGTTCTCTTTCGGCCTTAACCACTAGGTTATGTCAATTATGATATAGTTTTTATTATTAGTAAGTAAATATAAATAAATATCATTACTATTAATAAAATTTTTGTCCTTTAACAAAATGTGTTCCTTTTGGCATCTTAGGAAGCCTGTGTTTGTTTAAAACTGACTGACGAATTAGTGTGAACAGCGAATTTAACGCCATCTGTAGAATATTGCTGCTAGATTTTGTAGGATTTAAAAATGTTCGACAGGGTCTATTAGGAAATCGACATAACGAACTGAATTCATGATCGAACTTACTTCTAGGTGGTTGACACGTAACCAAATAGTTTCGAAACCACAAAAGTACTTACAAAAAAAAGCATTCTACGTATAACAAATATGGTGGATTTTCTCCGATCTACAATTCAAATATTTTCACACAAATATAAATCATACAAAAGAAACGACTTTTTTTGTGTTTGAAAAATCATTTTCACATTTGGCTTGTTTGTAACTAGATGAAATTGCTTTTGATAGATATTTGAGGGAGTTGTTGTAGTGTATAATATTATATATTGCATTTAATTTGAAAAATGTATAGCTGCATTAAACATTTGACACCGAAAAATGTTTCGAACGTTAACTGAATGCAGAACAAGACGAAGATAAATGATTTGACACGAGTGAAATAAGTGTATGTATATAAGCAAAACTGAACGTCACGCTACTGCAGTAACTAATATAAAAGGCAAGAACAATGTTATTTTGTTTTAATCTTTACACAAAGATCTGTCGCGTGTTTAACGTTAACTCTGAAAAATTGATGAGGGCGAAACCGGCTGCACAAATTAATATTGTAAACGCACTTATTGATTATCATTTTATCTCCATGGAAATTAAATATGTGTAACTGTGTGTTTTGTGTTACGTTAGCAGCAGGCCATACTTCACAAAGACAAATTTCGAGCAATTACAATCAGTCAAACAATTAACAAATTGCTCCGTTTCACGAAACTGGGAAACAACATGTAGTTGCCCCATGGATAAGGATAACAAATGCGAACACCACCCCCTGCTATACACAATTTTAATAATTGATAACACGGCCTTTGTTTTCGTCGTATAACTACCATGAAAACTAAATGACTTCAAATTAACTAAGTACACTGTTTCGCTCTGTTGTAGAATTTCATTCAAACTGGAACAGACAACACATCAATCTGTTACAATTTACGAAATTTTTATGTTGATTTTGTCAGAACCATCAGTTTTGATTTCGGGGAGGAGGGGGGGTAACTAGTTGGGAGGTCTTAACGACTTGTTCCTCTTGATCCTGATCTTGATCTCACCCACGGGCATCTTGTTTTTGATATTGTCTAGATTTTCAAGACAAAATCGATTCATTGTTGCGCCTTGCGGCAGCCCCAGACTTGTTATTACAAATGAGCAATTTTGTAAAGTGCATTATTAAAAATATGTTTCGTGTTGGTTAATGGACTTTTGAAAAATGTATTGTTTTTTCGCATGAGTGTTAGCACTTAACTTTATGCGTGTTTACATTTAAACCGAATTGCCTCACGTAACCGATGATGTATTTGTCATAATGTCATACTCGTGCAGCTTTGACATGACAAATGCGAACCATTTAAATTCAAACTGAATTCTCCATGAGATATTATTGCGACCTGGTACCTGTCACAGCCCTCTAACAACGATAACAATGCTATCGACCGCATTCTTCAAAGCACGTCGAATCGTCTACATATTATATTTTTCTACCATCCGAAATCTCACCATTGATTTGTACCATATAATGGTGATCATCAATGATTCTGCAAAAAGAATTTCGTTCGTGTTGTCTTTTCCTGCCGTAACCCTATGATCCTAAGCATGTCTATTCGATAGGAAGATACTGTTCGCGCCGTAGCATAATTCCAAATTCAATCATATTTGTCTGCCGAGCTCATTTCTCCACCGATCATCGAGCGAGAACTAGACAAAAGTGTACAGTACCATTTGCAAAATTATTTAAACTGCTTCGTTAAATTTTAAGAATATGCTTTATTTAAAAGCATATTTAGCCAAAAATAATAACAACTAAATTAACTTAACGTTCTACACACCTATTGTTGCTTTGTTTTCTATTGTTAATTTATATACATTTTTGTTTTAAGAAATTGCTAAACATTTTCGTCTAATACTGTACAGTTCCAGCCGATCTCCTATGACCGTCCATCGAGAGCTTTGCTCGTTCGAGCTTGTTCCAACTGTTTCTATCTTGCTCACGCCTAGTGTGTATTCTTTCTATCTTCGCGCAGATTTCTTCAAGGTCACAATTCTGACAAATTGGACTGTAGACAGCATTGCCAATTTTTCGGGTTGTACTGAATCAACTTCAAAGATGTACCAACTGAAATATGTTTTTGAATAGTACAAACAATTTTTCAATTTGGCGGAGGTGCCTACCATTACTAAACGTCAAGAATAAGTACCAATTTGTTACCAAATTCAGATGAAGAAAACAATTCAATAAAACTAAACAGCCTTTCAATTTGAGTTATTATTTACCGACTGAATTTAAAATAAAACAGATAAATATTAAAAATTGTTCTTTAACAAGGGCAGTATTAAATAAAGTCGCAGTGTTCGAAGCAATTAAAACTTTCCGCTTAGATTACAGATTAAAAAAGGATCTTAAAAGATAACAAATGCGCTAGCTGGGATCATAGTAATAATTAAATTTGAAACTAGAAATATTCGTATTTATTTATATGTATGCGCTCTCTCGCCAGAACAAACTTTAGATTGACATTCTCTAGGTCTCGTCGGAGTCATTTGTGTTTTGCGTCTGTGCGTCTGTCAGTATATTTAACGAACGAATTTCTAAATATTTCATCCCTGATGGAAAGCTATTTTTCCATTTGCGTTGTAATCGCTGACAAAGGAAGTTTCAACTTTTGCAACTGTCTTAAGTTTTGGGGAAAGTTCCGTGAGAGAAGATCAGTAAGCATCTGAGTTGGCGGAATTTCCAATCTTCACTTCAACGGGAACGGAGTGATTTATGGCAGTGGCAATAAAAAATTAGCTTCCAGCCCATTCTTATCTGTTTTCTAGTTGCGGAAACTCCTAACAGATCTTTTTTCTACCCCTTCTTCCGCATTCTGGTACAAACGTTCTCTTAATGGACTTGAGAAGTTTCTATATTGATTGATTTCGGGGACATTTTTGTTAGCATTACAAAACAAAACGAAATAAATCTCGTAAGAGCATCTGGAGTGACGTTTTTTTACAAAAAAATAGCTATTGTTTTATTACTTCGATTATGGTTAATTAAAGACAACAAAAATTAGTCCCATTTAGCCTTACATGTGTATTTATCAAAGTTTTATATTCCAAATTAATGTAAACTAGGTTTTATCCGCAACTTCGCTCGTGTTGATGTCTTAAATAGATCATAGATAGAGATAGATCATCGACGACCACGTAAAACTAATTTTTTTGTCCCTAGAAAACAGTATTTTTGATAAGGATAAAAGATACCCTATATCCTTCTCTGTACCCTTGACAAGGTATGCACAAAATTTCATGATGATCAGCTGAGTAATTAAGGTGTGAAGTGGTAGCAAGCAAACAAACTCAGGATTAAAACATTTGGGTTTTGCTTCACAAAATTGCATCAAGACTATTTAGAGATAGTGTCAACAACCGATTGATATATCAGAATATATTTTAAATAAACTTTGTGAAACAAAAACCAATTGTTTTATTTATTTAAATATCTAATCATTGTGCTTTCAATTACTGCATTTATGCCTTTGGGCAATAAGAATCCGTTTTCGCGAAAACTGGCTTAGTAAAAAATATGTTATTTTATAACAAGTACATAAATATATGCACCTGATTTTTATGACAATTGTTATTTTCCTTCGATTATAAGCAACCTTCATTGTAGTGTACCATTTTCTGTTGCTGGTGTCAAAAAAGCGCCTCGTTTTTGTTTTCGCCTTGCTTTGCATGCAAAAATATGCAAAGTAAATCATGAAAAAACCTCTTTGAAATTTCCTCATGTATCGATCGAATTTGCATACCATACACGCGTTTCCGGAAAGTCAAGTGTCAATAAAAATGTAAGTAAACCTATTTTTCCTTTTTTTTTGTGAGAGGTGCAGACTTTTTTTAACGTTTCGACGTCAGGCGAAATACGTTTATATGCAAATTTTTTAATCAAATAATGATTGGGGACAAAGAAGTTATTTTGTTCTCCGAAGTGTAGAACAAAAAGTTGATGGAATTTTTAAGCTCAAGTTATTGTAAGATAGTTAGTTTAGTATTGGTAGGTACGTTTCTATAGTAGGGACAATCAAAGTTGACAATGTCTTTGATTTCCTAAATTCTTGAGAATGTTGAACTTTCTTTTAAAGTCCGGTGCTTGCATCTCTTTCTGTTACACATCAATTGGTGTAATGTTATTCCTTTTTCTTTACTAGTGTCCGCTGCAATTCCTACCTGGCATCTCTTTTCTATATTTACAATGTTCCCTACAATGTCTGTTGTGAGTAAAAGTAGGCGTTCTGTCAGCAATCGCTCTAATCGGAAATATCACTAATCACTAATAACACTAACAGTTACTTATACCATCTATTCAATCTTTGAATTAATGAAGCATTTAGATATTGCAACTCCATTTTAATGTAGAAAATAAAAACACAAACACAAGTTACAGAAATGTTCATTGTACCATAATATACGTTTCGCCACACAGTGACTCCTTCAGGTGAAAGAAGTAATGATTACTAAATATAAACATCTTTATAACTTGTGTTTGTGTTTTTATTTTCTATATTCAATCTTCCTCTTTCTATAAGATTATTGATCCGTTGTTAGAATTCTGGTAACACATTTCTAAATAAATTAAACAAAATTAAGGATATATAATCTGTTACAAATTGCATCCTTGTAGAAACCAACCATGGCAACAACAAGGAAGA